GCCAAGGAAGAATTATCCTTCCAAGACGCCTTAAGGGAAGTCACCGCAGAAGAAGCAGCAGGCGGCGCCATCAAAAACATGCGGCCGATCAGAAACAGTGCAGAGGGTGCGTCCGTGCACCAGGAAGACGTCCGACGAAACTCCGAGGAGGATCCGGACGAGGAAGTCGACCGTCTACACCCCGCGAGGGAAGAAAACCAGAAGGGAAGCTCTTCGGCTCCGCTCAAGTTCATCGGCTGTGGAGGTCGCCACAGGAGAACCGACTGCAAGTTCCGCTCCGCTACCTGCCGGGCATGCGGCAAACAAGGGCACATTGCAGCTGTGTGTCTGAGCCGACGAAAGGCACAACCCCAAGAAGAACGCCTGAAAGGTACCAGATTCCCAGCCAGAATAGGGTAGGTTTTTGCGCTTCGCGAAGAAGCATCTGTAGAACAGGCACACACAAGCCCATGAAGAAAAAGCTGTCACTCAACGTGAAGCTACAAGGGGTTCCATTATCTATGGAACTAGACACAGGGTCTGCCCTGTCCTCATTTCATTGCATACTTTAGGAAGATTGTTCCGTAGTGGTCTACCAGGCCAAGTTAAGGCCTCTGATATTTGATAACAGATTTTTCCAGACTCAAGAGTGTGTGTTAAGGGGGAGGCCACCCTTAACGTGCATACAAGGCTTATGAAGGTCCACTAAACTTATTATAGTATGGGGGTGAAACAACGAGTCTCTAGGATCGATTGGTTTGAGGCCCTGGGGATACACGTCACAGGACTCAACAGCTTACAACAACGCGACCTACAGGAAAGTCTGCAAAGAATTTGCAGTATGTTTCAGCCCCCAGCTGGGCACATTCAAAGGACCACCTGTGTCCTTAAAGCTAGACCCCACTGTCACTCCCATTAGGATTAAAGCAAGAAGGGTCCCTTTTGCTTTAAAAAGTAAGATTTACACTGAATTAGACAAACTAATCCAACAAGGAATCCTAGAACCTGTTGATTCCAGCCCATGGGAGACCCCCATTGTCACGCCTCTAAAGGCAAATGGGGACATTCGAATTTGTGCTGATTACAAATGCACACTCAATAAGGCATTGCAGCAACATGCCTATCCTGTTCCTGTGGTCAGTCACATCCTGGCCTCTCTCAAGGGGGGGCGTGTTTTTGCAAAGCTTGACCTAGCTCAAGCATATCAACAGCTGCCTGTTGATGATGATGCTGCCATAGCTCAGACCATTGTGACCCACAGGAGAGCCTTTAAAGTAAAAAGGCTACAGTTTGGAGTAAATGTCGCTCCTGGGATTTTCCAAAGCGTAATGGAAAACACACTACGAGGTATACCAGGGGTCTGCCCCTATTTTGACGATGTCTTGATTGCAGGAGACTCCACACACATTCTAGCTGAAAGACTTAGGGCTGTCCTGTTAAGATTCAGGGAATCAGGCCTCAAGCTCAGAAAAGACAAATTCAAGATCGGGGTGCCTTCTACTGAATTTCTGGGATTCAAAATTGATGCTGCTGGGATTCATCCTGCTGAATCCAAACTAACTGCTATTTTACAAGCACCCAGGCCAAAGTCTAAGGCCGAACTTCAGGCCTTCCTAGGCCTCCTGACTTTCTACAATTCTTTTCTTCCACATAAAGCTAGTGTAGCTGAGCCTCTTCACAGGCTACTAGACAAACAGGCTGTGTGGCTGTGGTCACAAGCGCATGAGGCTTGCTTTAAAGAAGTCAAGGCCTTGCTCACTTCTAACCGTGTTCTTGCACATTTCAACGAGTCTCTCCCTGTGTGCATCGCTTGTGATGCGTCCCCCTACGGGGTTGGAGCTGTCCTGAGTCACCTCAGGTCTGATGGAACTCAGGTTCCTATTGCATACTACTCCAGAACACTGTCTTCTGCCGAGCGCAACTACGCTCAGATAGACAGGGAGGCTCTGGCTGTTGTTGCTGGAATTAAAAAATTCCACGATTTTCTATATGGCAGGCAGTTCACGGTCTTCACTGACCATAAGCCTCTGCTGGGACTGTTTACCACACGTAAGCAGACTCCCCAAATCATTTCCCCTAGAATGCTTAGGTGGTCTATTTTTTTGTCTGCATATGATTTTTCTTTACTCCACAAAGCCTGGAAGAAATGGGCCATGCTGATGGCCTCGTAGATTTTGCCTCTGCCAGTATAGAAGCTGACCCCCAAGCGCCAGCTGTCAACATTTCGATCAATCAAGCCTTGCCCCCCGAGCTCCTCTTGTGCCAGGGATGTTACCGCTGAAACAGGTACAGATCACACACTTTCACGTGTCCGCTCCTGGGTCCTGTCCGGGTTGCCTGAGCACTGCCCTAGTCCTGAGTTTCAGAGTTTCTGGTCCAAAAGGAACGAACTGTCCCTTTCTCAGGGTTGTCTGCTTTGGGGAAACAGAGTTGTCATTCCCACCTCAATGAGGACTAGGGTCTTAGAATCCCTCCACGAGGGTCCTCCTGGCATTGTTCGGATGAAGGCTCTTGCAACGAATCCACTTGTGGTGGCCTGGTTTAGATAAAGATTTGAAGCTACGTTACACCATGCCACCTGTGCCAACGATCTCGTCCCAGAGATTTCCCAAGCCCAGTGCATGATTGGGAAGTACACACATCCCCATGGTCCTAGGGTGCACATTGACTACGCTGCCTTTCAGGGCATTCTTCTTGGTCTTGGTTGACAGCCATTCAAAAATGGCTTGAGGTTGGTGCTGTCTCATCCCCAACCCTGCAAAGACTATCAGGTACTGAGGGGGATTTTTGCTGCACACGGGCTGCCAGATGTCATTGTGTCCGACAACGACGGCCCTCAATTCACCTCCTCCGAATTCCAAGCTTTCTTACAGGCAAACCTGATTCGTCATGCCACGTCTGCGCCTTTTCACCCGTCCACCAACGGTATGGCTGAACGCATGGTGCGCATCGCAAAGGACGCCTTGAAGAGACTCACCTACGGGGACTGGCATCACAGGTTGGCTGACTTTCTCCTTTCTTATCGCACCACACCGTCCACTTCTACAGGGAGAAGTCCAGCTGAACTTCGTTGGGGGCGCCAACTTACTACTAGACTTGACCGGTTGCATCCGGACAGACTGCCTTCATCTACCTCACATCCTAGGGCACCTAGACAACTACTTGTGGGTGCCCCGGTTTGGGCTCGCAATTACGGGCCTGGTCATACATGGGTCCCCGCTTCTGTGTCCAGGATCACAGGTCCTCTCTCCTACGAGGTTGCCCTGGACAACGGTCGTGTCCTGCGTCGGCACATCGACCAACTTCGCTCTAGGCGAGACTTTTCTGCTGAGACTCCTGGGTCTTTTCCAGGGGGGGAGGGGGACCCTTTGGAGCAAAGGGAAGGGCAAGAGCTACTGCCCACCTCCACTGAGGGAGCCACAAACGGCCCATCTCAGGGTTCTGCAATTGCTCCGAAAAGAAAGTCATGGAGCTTACCCACACAACAGGCACTCACGCCTACTCCAGCCAGGGAGTCACCCCGGGGGCATACTCACTTTCCACACACATCACACAGCACTCCAGCAACGGAGGATACCCGGGGGCATCCCAACAAATCATTCCCCGCAAGAGAACTGGCACACAATTCCCAAGGTTGGCCTGACCTTACCCCAAATCCTACAGGGGGTCAAACATACACAGAGTTAGTCGAGGAACCAAGTCCCGACTACAACAACCCTAGCACAAATCAGGGAACACCTGAGTTTTGGGAAAGTACAGAAACCCACACGAGCCCGAACACAGAATGGGGTTCAGGGAATGGACAGCCTCCTGACAGGTCTTGGACTGACCTAGGAGGTTCTACAGAGACGCCCAGCAGCGGCTATCACTTCAAGGGGCCTGAGGGTCTACAGCTAGGTAGGTCAACCAGGTCACAAAGTAACAGAAGCCCTGGCCTGACGAGCCCGGTGGGCAAGCAAGCAGGCCAGGCATCGGGGCACAGTCCTTGGAAGACACCAGGACACAATAGAGAGAACAGGCTCACGCCTCCCTCCAGTCAGGGGACTTATGCCAGTAATCCACAGCTAAGAAGGTCACAGAGAGCAAAGAAATCTCCCAAGTACCTAGAAGACTACATAACATTGCTGGCAAGGCAAAGGCCAGTAAACAGTGGGAGCACTGGGGAGCAAAATGTCATATAAAATAAATGTTGTATGTTGGTAGTAGTTTTAGCCCGGGGGAAAGGGGTGTTATGTCCCGAGCCTTTGCAAACGGCTCGGGCGTTTGCAGGCAGTCCCGGGCAGGTGCAAAGCTGCCCGGGACCAGACAGGCTGTCGCCAGCGCCGTGCGCATGCGCGGGTGCTGGCGCGGGAAAAGTAACCCATTTACCCGGGAGTTGCCTATATAAGAGGCTGCGAGGCGTTTGGGCGAGGCTGAAGCCATCTTCCTGTAAGCTGAACGCTGAATAAAAGAAACTGAGAACTCCAGCTGCTTCTCGTGTCTGTTTTCCCGCCAAGGACGCAACATTAACTATCCATTCTTCCATAGTAGGCAAAGAGTTTTTCTTCCAATATTGCCCCACAAGTAATATTGCAGCTGTTATAAGATTCAGCATCAAATCAATTTCTTTGACACCAAAATCTACAATAATACCCAGCAAAAATAATTGCGGAGTAAACTTTATCTTTCTCTTAAAAATAGTACTAAAATTTTTAACAATGCCTTGTATGAGGCATGCTTCTCTATATTATTTTTTAAGGCACAAATTCCAAGCAAATCACAGGAGTCAAAGAATCATATGAATAATGAGGGCTTGGATATCCCATTTTCATAAAAGAGCTCTCTGGGAAATGGAGGACAACATTCTAGGGCTTCAGTTCATTTGCAAACTGGTGCACCAAAGCTGCATGATCAGTATGGAGTCTTTTACATCAGGACAAACCCATAGCATTCCTGCCATTATCCATGCTAATCTAGCAAGGAGGTTAGATGATAAATCTAATGATCAGATTCATAACTTCTATCATGTTGACCTCAATTACCTTGTTTGCACAATGCATTTGGCTGTAAATCTGTTAGTGAACGTGCCATTTTTAATCCTCTATCCACCATCTTTACTCTGAGCACTCAAAATCTCTACATGGCCACCCTGAACCACTTTTACCCAGATGCTGTAACATCAAACATCCTAGGAAACTATCTAATATTTGAACAGCTTGGTAAATCCAAAGATAAAGAATTATGTGCAGTTAGCATACTTAAGTGGCATTAAATGTACTGTAACTAAGGTTTGTAAGAAGGTCTTTTGGAAATGTAGCCTGTATCAACAAGTACAACAGTACAGTTGTAGCCTATTTCATATTTCATTCTGGGCTGGGTTTATATCTTATGCTAAGCAACAAGGTAGTTTACAAGCTGATGATTTAGTATGCTATGTGAATCCCAATAATTTTGACTTCTTCACAAGCCATTGCTATGCAAATTAGCAGTGTCAGTATATGGTTTATTCTGATTCTTCTCACCAGGTCTCATTGGGCCCTCTTTCCATTAAGTCCTATGAACTCTATTTGTTGTTTTCTGCCTGGAGACCTGCTATATCACAGCACCCATGCGTTTTAGCAAAACCATCTGCATTAAAAAAAAAAGTTCCTAATTTTTATATTGAATGTTTCCTTTCTGCTTAAAGAACAAAACAATAAAGATAAAGCCGAACCCCTGGGTCACTAGTCTCGTGCTACCAGAAGAGAAGGGGGCTGCGTCTTGTTTTCCTTTTCAACTCTGCAGAAGAAAGACTTTTCCTATCAAGATATCTGAGGATTATAGGCAAAGAAACCAGCTTTTGGAATATTCCACTGATGCTACAAACACCCTTGTTAATAGTTATGTCTCGCTTTGTTACTTCATTTTAATAAATCATAAAACGACGACAGCTGCCAAATAAGGGATCTGGCCCCCAGCCTACAACTGACTTGAAGCCTTAAAATATACTATTTATGGTACTTGAGGTTTAAAGTTTCAATTTCTTGTATAAACCTTGCCTTCTCTACAAATTATGCCATGTGAGTATAAGCAGATTTATCTTGATTTCCAGAGGTGCTCCAGCCCTCCTACCCAGCAAAATTCACATTTGTATATGTTTTGAAAAAAGCAATGAGGTGGCTATTTTGCTTTTTCATACAAATGGTCCTCTGCTGTCACACTGGAAGAAATAGGTTTCCTAATAATGTATATAACACTGGGCTTGCTTCTGACTACATAGGCCCTACACAGTTGTCTTTCTGTTGTCTGATTTTTGACGGGGAGAGGATGGTATTTATAGGCCCTAGCCTATAGGAGAATATTCATGAGATACTCACTGCACAATGAAAACATGTTCTCCACTATAGGGTTCAAGGAATTGACCTACAATTGGCCTTGCTCTCTGGGTCCTAAACTTTTGGAAGAAACAGATTGGAGAAGATTTAATTATAATTCAGTTGTCACTGAAGCAAGCTATAATAGAGCCAGTTTGGTCTAGTTGTTAAGGCAGCAGACTAGAAAGCGGGAGACCACGAGTTCTAGTTTATATTAGGATCAAAACACATAGGTAGAGCAGGCAAACTGGATAGCAACACTACAAAATACTGCTTTTAACATAAATCAAGAAGATAGGGCACAGGTCCCATTCATGGGAAGACGTTGTCATCTCCTCCTGCCTTCCAGAAACAATTGTTGACATATAACACATGGCAGCTTAGCAGAGCAGATATGTTCCAGTTCTATAACTGCAGAACAACCACAAGGCTGGTTCTATATGGGTTCAAATTTAAAAGAAGTACAGTTACTTCAACTGATCTGGCATGCTGTCACATTAGTACAGATTGCTGTTGTTCAGTCATTAAGCCATATCCAACTCTTTGCGATTCCATGGACCATAGCAGTGTCTTCCACGGTCTCCCAGAGCTTGCCCAAATTCACGTTCATTGCATTGATGACACTATTTAACCATCTCATCCTCTGCCATTCCCTTCTTTTATTTTCAATATTTTCCAACATCAGGGTCTTTTCCAATGAGTCCTCTCTTCACATTAGGTGGCAAAACACAGATTATCTAACTGCAAATCAAGTTTATTAGGAAAGAAAATAGGAATGATTTTATAACTTGATTATCTTTTATCAATTGAAATATTGATTAGGCAAGAATCACATTTTAATTAATGCCCTCATGGATTTTCACCATTAATGCAATATGCATGCTTTAGACTAATTTTATCAGCAAAAATGTAAAATATTGTGTAATACTCAGTTTTGATAGTTAAACCTTACAAGCATATATATTCCTTTTTCTTTTTCTATACATTTCTATTACATCTGTAATAATTTTGGCAAATGATCTGGCTAGTACAAATATTAAATAGACAAAACATACGAAAGTTGAATGAAAAGAAATGCCTCCACTGCCAAAACTTTAAGAGGGATATTTTGATAAATGAAATAGGAAAATAACCCTCGAAATGAGTTCTTTTGTTACCTGTATTTACTTCTCCATATACAGTGCATTCAGAAAGTATTCAGACCTCCTGCACTTTTGTCAATATTTTTATCCTGCAGCCCGGCTCTACAGTTGTTGAAATTCATCTTTTTTCTCATTAAACTACACTCAGTACCCCATAGTGACAAAGTGAAAACAGAATTTTAGAAATGTCTGTACATTTATTAAAAAGAAAAAACTGAACATCACATTACCATAATTATTCAAATCCTTTGCAACAACACTTGCAATTTAGCTCTGGTGCTTCCCATTTCTCTTGATCATTGCCGATATGTTTCTACACCTTGATTGGAGTCTACCTCTGGCAAATTAAACTGATTGGACATGATTTGGAAAGAAACACCTCTTTATAGAAGGCCTCACAACTGACAATGCATACTGTAGTAGAGCAAAAGACATGTGGTCAATGGAACTACCTGCAGAGCTCAGAGACAGGATTATTGCAAGGCACAGATCTGGGGAAGGTTACAATAAAATTTCTACTGCACTGAAGGTTCATAGGAGCTCAGTGGCCTCCATAATTCTCAAATGGAAGACATTTCGCACAACCAGGACTCTTCCAAGAGCTGGTCAACCAGTTAAACTGAGCAACCAGGAGAGAAGGCCTTAGTATCCCTGCAGCCCTCCATTTATCTGGGCTTTATGGCAGAGTGGCTAAATTGAAGCCTCTCCTCAGTGCAAAACACTTGAAAGTGCACGTGGAGTTTTCAAAAAAAAAAACACCTGAAGGACTCTCAGACCTGGTCTGATGAAACCAGTATTGAACTGTTTGGCCTCAATTCTAAACATTATGTCTGGAGGAAACTAGGCATCGCTCATCATCTGCCCAATATCAATCCAACAGTGAAGCATGGTGGTGGCAGCATCATGCTGTGGTGGTGTTTTTCAACAGCAGGGACTGGGAGACTGGTCAGGATTGAAGGAAAGCTGATGGAGCAAAGTGCAGGGATATCCTCAATGAAAATCAGCACTCAGGACCTCAAACTGGGCCAAAGGTTCACTTTCCAACATGACAGGACAACAGCCAAGATAACATAGAGTGGCTTAGGGATAACTCTGTGAATGTCCTAGAGTGGCCCAGGCAGAGCCCTGACTTGAACCCTACTGAACATCTCTGGAGAGACCTGATAATGGCTGTCCGTCAATGGTCACCATCCAATCTGACTGAGCTTGAGAGAATTTGCAAGGACGAATGGCAGAAATTCCCTCAGTCCAGATGTGCAAAGCTTGTCATGTCATACCCCAAAAGACTCAAGGCTGTAATTGCTGCCAAAGGTGCTTCAACAAAGTACTGAGTGAATGGTTTGAATACTTATGCAAATGTGATATTTCAGTTTTTTCTTTTTAATAAATTTACAGACATATCTAAAATTCTGTTTTCACTTTGTCATTATGAGGTACTGAGTGTAGATTAATGAGAAAAAATGAATTTCAACAATTGCATAATCAGGCTGCAGCATAACAAAATTGACAAAAATGAAGGGGGTCTGAAAGTTTCTGAATGCACTGTAATCATTACCATTTGCTACACATGTCTGCTAATATTGGACAAGCTTCTTAAAGCCATCATGAAAGAATTCCACACTTTGTCTCCTTAACTAAGTCCTGGCAGTCCTTTCTAACTCTCCATCTTAGTCAAACAGATATTCACAAAAGTGTCTCTTTAGTTTTGGGAAAAATGGACATCACAACATGCCAGGTTTAGACTGTATGGTCTATATTCAAGATGATGAAATCCAACTTCACAATTTATTTATTTATTTATTTATGAGACTTATATACAGCTTTAAGTGCAAGCACTCTCTAAGCGGTGTACACCAGTAAGCAATGTATATATATATATATATATATATATATATATATATATATATATATATATATATATATATTTACATTGCCCCCAACAATCTGGGTCCTCAACAATTACCTCTTGGGTGGCTTGTAAGATGTGAGGTTTTGATTTGGATTCTGCATAATCATTGTTTCAAAGTTTTGAGTGCTAAAATATTGCTTTCAGTGGGTGGGATACCAGGTTCAAGGAAATCCATATGAATTATAACCTCTATCTTTCCAAAAATTGTAATCATGGGTTTTCCTCCTCTAGCCTGAATTTTGAATTCTGTTTTCCTTTTGGTGAAGCCTTATGATGACAATCCATCAACTGATACTTCATTTCTAGATTATAATGACTCCTTCAGCAATCATAAATTCTATCATGACATATTGCTTAAAGAGCATTTACAAGAACTGACTACAATTTCATGAACAATACAGCAGCAATCCAACTTTTGAGGGGTCCTTGGTGCTCTCCGAGTTTAATTGTTTTCTTGCAGATATTTCATTACACAAATGAGGTAACATCCTCAATGCATAACCAAACTCAGAAATCACCAAGGACTCCTCATTTCAAAGCTCAGTTATAAATATTCTCCTTTATTAATCCTACTTTTTATCACCGCAGCTACCTCTCACCAATAGATGCTAAAGATACATCAGATATTCTAGAGTAGTGTTTGTCAACCTTGACAGCCTGAAGGTGTGTAGAGTACAACTCCCACAATTTCCCAAGCAGCCTTGGCTG